TTCATCTTTTTCCTTCTTTCCTCCATTGTCCGTGCCTTTCCCCAGGCACCAGTGAGCACATTGCAAGTTCAAAAATACAGGTTCCATCACCTCCTTCCCACCAGTGTAGCAGTGTAGCCATAGGACAGGGTGGTTTTAAATGATGATGGCTTTGACTTAATCTTCAGCTCTGCTGTAGGTCATCTGTGGGGAAATACGGTCTCATGGAATTACAAGTTAATGAGGAGTGTGTTATTCACGACAATGGACTCTTTGTGGTTTATGGTTTACTGAAGAATATTTTTAAAAGAGGACTCTGTACTGTCCAGGCAATTTATGCTGGAACAAGCCTGCTGAKAAGCTGCAGGTGTCTCATTAAATTCTGGTGGTGATTAGAAGAAGCAGCCATGTGCAGAGATGTTCATCAGCGGCTCCGTCACTGCTGCTCTCGCGCTTGCCTTTTCCCTAACAGCTCCCTACATTACTTAGCATTGATGCCCTGTTACTGTGCATAGAATTCTATAAAAACAGTTCTCCAGCTTTATCACAGCTATAGGTTTACCTATTGACACATAGCCCTTTATAGGGACTCAAGAATGCTTGCTACTTATCCACTACCTTTTTCAGGAGCACATTAAGATCATTTTCCATGTGCTAAATGAAAGCGCACAGCGTGATATTTCTACCAGCCATTTTCTTACAGAGGGCAGCAAGAGACTCCTTTATACAACTGCACTGGAGAGAGAGGTTGAGAAAGTTTGTCAGTATTCCCAGGCCTGGTTAAATGGCTTGGCCTGAAGGCGAGATGGATTCGTGCCCATTCCTTCCCAACACTGACATGTGTTTGAAAGCAGCAACTTGGCATAACTCTTAAAAAAAAAAACAGAAAACAAAACCCAAAAAACAAACTACCACCCTTTCGTATCTGCTACTTATGCTACTTCTTTGGGGAGAAAAAGCAATGATATTGAAGCGTCTAACAGCAGTGATACATCATTTGCAATATTGCTATTTCTTATTCAGCTGAACAACTAAAAGACATTTGTTTTTATAATTCTGCAGAATTTATTTTATTAGTCCCTGCTGCTTATATGACATTTGCTTTTCAAAAAGTTTGTACCTCCAGTGTCTGGCTTGTCTCTTTGCATCCTGATTCTTGCAGTTGTGTCTCAGATCCCTAAACGAGAAGCCGTGGGATTCCCTCGGCGCTGAGGGTCTCTTTGGGGGAAGTACACAAGTCACACAGGAGCACTAGTGGACCTGAGTTTGAATTAACTTTTCCCTGTGATCTTGATCATGGAAGAGGATAATTGTAATGAGGCCCTAATGTGACTGCGGACTCGGGCGTTGTTTATCTTTCCAGGCTTGTACAGCACCTAGCGTACTGAGTACAGTACCTAGTGTACAGGACACTTATCCGTGTCCTGTATTAGGCCTTTAGCCTAATGCAAACAACGTATTTCAAATATAACCACATGGTCTTAAATGTTTGTAGTCTTGGGAATTTTGCTGAGAAGTCATCCTGTTGGGAGTACAACTCTATAGGTCCTTGGTATTCACAGAACTCTTGCTCTTGACTTTTCTTAGCCTCTGCAGAGGTTGTGGTGGCTTTGGCTAGGCCGCAGTATGAAATCTATAATTGAGCTTAGAGGAGAAGATGCCTGGAAACAACTGTGTAGAGCACTTTTTAAACAAAGGCATGTGCTAGCCAAATATGTGCTTTTGGCTCCGTTATACAAAGAATATCCACAGTTATAGCAAACATTTTGGTATTTAGTGCCATAACTGTTAAGACAGAACATTACGTTTCTCTGATTTTTAAATTCTGTGGGTGACATTTTTGGGAAGGATGCAGATAGACCCTGAGAGGTGGAAATCACATAGTCCAACCTCCTGCTTAAAGCCTAGTCCAACCTCCTGCTTAAAATAGGCCCTGTTAGACCAGACTGCCCAGGGCCTTCTCCTGTCAAGTGTGAGTATCCCCAAGATGCACTCCACAACACAGCCTCTGTGGGCTCCAGTTCCAGTGTCTGACCATGTTTAAGTCCTCTGTAAGTGTCTGACCATGTTCCAACTTTCTCCCATTGCTTCTCGTCCTGTCACCATACACTTCTGAGAAGAGTGTGGGTCCACCTTCCCTACACCCTCCTGCTGGCCGCAGGCAGCAGTGTCTTCTTAAGGCTGAGTGAGCCCGGTTCACAGCCTCGTCTCATAGTAATCTCCTCTATTTTTATGCAAGAGAGACAGTGTATATTCTTCTGTGTATGGCTTTCCTCTTTTAATTAGAAGACATGGGTTGTAATGCCTGCATGTGTCATCTTCAGGTTTTAATTGCACTTCATAGTAGAAGTGTCCACAGAGATCTATATAAAGCCCCTTTGAAAACCCATACGTATGGATTTGGCATTGCTCCAGCCCTGCTCTGCATTCCAGCCTAATTGCAGCTTGAGTACATGCACTCGGAGAAGCTACTTTAAATATTTATAGCCACGCTGTGGCACACACCAGCTACCAGATCTTTTTCTCAAGTGCCCTGGCAGGTGTGTTTGTGCCTGCCCTGAAAGCCCGGCTGCTTCCAGACACCATTATCTGCATCTGATCTGGCTGACAGCTCTGTAAATTCCTGCACTGCAGACTAGACATAACCTTCATGTGTTTTACTGCTTAAAATATGAAAGGATGGAGCCCAATAAATTCTTTCCCCTCTACACTTTCCCCCAAAGCTGCCTCATTTTACTCTGTTACGCAGAAACATTTTCTTTGTTTACTTCCCGCACTGGGAAGCTGCTGGTGCTGACCTTGCCCCCAGGGCCTTTGTGCCACGGCCTTTCACAGAGCCTTTTGCACAGGGCCATGAAAATCCCACACCGCTGGGAACTGCATGGCATTGGCACGTGCAGAGCTCGCCAGGCGCCCAGCCTGCTCCGTCTCCTTTCCGTGCCCTCCTCGACACGACGCTGCGTTTCCCTGAGGCGCCAGCCCTGGCAAGGGAAAGGCTCTGCTCATCGGCCCCAGAGGATGGCTGGCGGTGGCCAAGCTCCCCTTCCCCGCGCCCCGCGTGGAGGGGACCCTGGGCTCGGAGGGCTTAATTCAGCCCCTGCTCCCCTTTGATCTCTGCTCTCCTGACTGGCCTGTGAGGGTGTCAGTCTGAGAGAGAGATTGCAGGTTTTCCTGGTGTCRACACCCTGGAACTGGGAACTAAAAKCACCACAGCCCATCTGGCAGCCTATTAAGATGTGCTAGTGAAGTGGCTTTTATTTCTGAGTGAACTTGTGCTTGAGAACTGGAGGGTTAATGCTCATAACTCACTGCCCAATGCTCCAAGCTGTCCTGATCCCTGGGTGTTATACTCAAGTCCTTCTTTGGTTCCAAGACTGATTTTAAATGTTTTGAATTCATGTTTTCTGTTTCACCTCCTGTAAAAACAAAGATCCTGCTCCTTGATGACCCTGAGGGCATCATGCCGAGAGCCTTGTGGGTCACCAAGCACCAAGGCAGCTACTTAGCACGGAGAACGGGAGCAAGAAGGACCCTACACAAGCTGTAGCCTTGAGCCAGGAGGCCTGACTTTTGCCCAAGGAAAAGGGGAAAGATGAACTTTTCCACGATACAGGTGAAGCTGTGGCTCTGACCATGTGCCAGATGCCGACACTMCACCTGCGTGCAGGACAATGACAGGGATGCTCTTTGTTGTGGTCCCTGAGGATAATTTTGGGATTGCTTCTGGGATAGCGTAGCTGCGTGTTGCCTTTGCTGCTGAGCTCTGAGCCAGCGTGGAAGAAGGTCCAGGCTTTGGAGTGACTTTTGTCTTTTCACATATATTAAATGAACCTGTCACTTGTGTTGCTCCTGACTCCAGCTTTAAGGAACTTCTGTTTTCCTGCTGACATGAACCAAGAGTAAACCCTGAACGAGCAGTGAGCTATGCCAGTGTGAAGTGCAGTCCAGCCTGAGCCTAAAACCATGCCCTAATATTACGTGTGAATTCATGTAAGCACTTACCCAAGGGAAAGCAAACAAAAAAGGCTGAGATGGKGCTGCAGATCTTTCCTTGCTATTTCATGTAAATACCTCCTGCAAGCATCTCTGCAGTGCTCATCACTTGCTTGTGTGAGTCTTGGCTTCTTTTCTTCTGATTAGAGCAATATCTACAATGAAAATGCAGGCAGGGTGCTTGCATTTTCTAATGCCTCTTAAGGGATATTGCTTTGGCTGATACAATACTGTTCACCTGATATTTTAGCTAGCTGAACACTAGAATTTGATCCAACCAATTTAACTCCTTAATCTCCTAGGAAAGTCTAGAAAAATCAATGGGTAAAATGGGAGAATTTGATTATGCATACCATTAATTTTTCATGGAATTGAAAAAATCTGTGTTCATTCATATTGCTAATTACTCCAGCATTTTCCCAATTGATATGGAATATGAATAATAAAAATGCCATACATTTATGGTCTACTCATGAAATTACAATCCAACACAAAAAAATATGCTAGTCTCTGTATATGGAACCTTATAGGGTGTTTTGGTTTTCCTGTGGTTTAGTCTGAATACACAGGGCCACATGAACTTACTAAGATTTAATCCCTGTGAAAGTGTACCTGAACATATATTTGACAAACCATTTGTTTGCATATGTCACCTACGGTCAGATAGGATAATACTGATATTGTCACACTAATAACTAAATTCTGAAAGCTGAATTATTTACATGGGTATTTACTTAGCTGTTGTTGACATCAAGCCTCAAGCCTTCAAGATATGATGAGCCATTAATAGCCATTAAATTGTCAATAAATGAATAGCTATTGAACTAGAGGCAAATGAATTCCTGGGGAACAACGTTCTCCTAAATACTAACTTTCTTGGGATTATGGAGAATATCCATTTCCTAAGGGCAGTGGTAGTCTGAAATGTTTCACCCAGAAATGGGAAAGAAATAACTGGCATACGTGTGAAATCTGGAGTTGTAAACAAGTCCTGATTTTTATTATTATTTCTTGAATAGAAAAAAAAAAAAAAAAGAGCTGTAAATTGTACAGAGAAAGGTTAGTCTATAAGTAAATACACATGGTATTGGTTGAAAAATCTGTTTGCTCAGCTGTTTGCAGTTAGCCAAACTACCTTTTTTTAGAAGAAAAAAACATAAGCTTTTGTTCTTTTCTGCAACTTCACATGTCGTACCTTTAAGACAATGAACCGACTCTGAACTCAATAAAGTTTTGTCTTTTCCTGCTGTAGCACAAATCTTGGAGAGATTGTGACCGATCTAAGCAGTGCGGGGGATTCTGTTCCTAAGGAGCTACAACCAAAGTGCTGAGGAGGCATCAAGGGAAGGGGGAGCAAGGCACAGTACTCTCCAGCCTGCATTGCCCCTGTCTTGAAGGCACCAGCAGCAGATGCTTGTGGAGGCGATGATGCCCCGGATCCTGCTGCGCTTAGCACATGTGCTCCTTCGTAGCATAGGGAACCATCTCTTCAGTCTGCAGAAAGGAAGCTCTCAGTCTTGGCTTTGGCTTCAAAAGCCAAAAATTCACAGAATTTTAAAGGAGCTCAGCAACCACGGAGCTGCAAAGGAGCTGCCGTTCAAGAGCCCACGCCTGAAGGATATTTGTTTACTAAACCTTTTTTTAAAAAAACGAGTATCGACAATAGTTTTCCTGGAGATTTCCATACTTAAAAATATTACAGTCTATGACTGTGTATGCTATGCAGGTATGCTGAATGTCTATACAACACTTCTAAGAAAAGCAGTCATTCCTCCTTTTTTCTTGTTGGCTGACAGCAAGGCTGCTTTATCTATCTGATAAAGTCTCAGACATCCATATGGAGATGTCTGTATCCCTTGAGATTTTGTTGTATTTTTTAAACAAGTGTCAAACAAGTGTTTGGAATGTTTTCCAAGCAAGTCCTTGATTTTTTTTTTCCTTTTTTTTTTTTTTTTTTCTGATGTTTAAATGCAGCCTCTTTCTGCCTTGGGTTCTAAACTCAGTCCTCCAGGATTTTTCCTCCTCTTTGCTGCTCACTCTTTCACTCTCTTCATGCTGCTGCCATTTTCTGCTGCTGAAAGCCTTGCCAGAAAGTCGTCCTTTCCACTGATTTCACTGGGGTTCCTCCTGGAAAGTGCCCCTGCCAGTGACGAAGGCTCTTTGAGAATCTGGATTCACTGTAGATTAGTCCCAATAGGCTGACTTCATTTTTCATCTATACTAGACTTCTAAGRGTATCTGCCAATGTCACTAGTCTGATTGTACCTGGCATGTCCTCCACTTGTGCCAGGTGTGGGGAGTTTGTTTATTCGTTTGTTTTCCAGCTGGTTATGCAGATGTGTAAAATGATACTAGAACCACAAGGCTCCAAAGTTACAACCTGATACTCACTAAAAGCTGCCACTTATCACCATTCCAGGGCATTATGTGCAACAATATGACCTGCTGAAAGTGAGGTACCATGGTATATGGATTCTTTTATTTATTTATTTATTAAAATGATGTAAAGAAATAAAGGAATAAACCAGGTAGCCTTTTGAATCAAAAGGCAACAACCTTCTCCTTCCTGCTCCAGATACCTGTTACTCTGTCTTTTGCTGCCACAAGCAACGTTCGCGGATGCTCTTGGGGCAGGCAGGAGTCAGTGCATCCGCACTGGGAAGCAGCAAGCTCCGTATGAAAGGCTGTGGCTACAGGTAGGAGCTGCTGCTCTGGCCTGCTCACCTCTATGGCACAGTTGAAAGCCCGGAGGAGGCTGTGCAGACCTTTCAGGACAGGGGTGTTTTGCTTTGCCCCCCATCACCTGGTGTGTGACTATCACTTGCAGATATTCTTGCAAAGCATAATACTATGTGCTATTATTCTAGCATATAATACTAAAAGGACAGAAATCTGATTTTAAGGAGGAGTAGATCTGTGCAAATCTTGAGAAAAGGGATGAATTAATCTTCCCTAAAGGTTATGAGGTAGACCTCCAAGTGTACTCACCTCTTGTAAAACGTGGGAACCGATAGTGTATTTGGATTGCTGCAGAGTTGAAACATAGGCCRTTAGCCGTCATGCAGAGAAGGAATAAACAGTGCCTTAATGTCATTCCTGTTTCACAGAGAGCAATAAATCTGGGGGGGAAGTTGCTGAGTAAGGCACTAATGCACCAAGTGCTAGAAATGAATCAAGAGGTAGTGCCATTTTTATAGGGAGAAGAGGAGGGAGGAACAGACTGACCAAGCAAAGAGATGAGGCTGAGATCAATTTAAAGGGAACAGACTTGCTGGATTAAGTGGCCATTTCCAGTGCAGCCAACTGCTATTAGTAAATCTATGCCAGGAAAGTCATCTTTTATGTGGAAGGGATGAAGGAAGAGCAGCAGGCTGAATCTTAGGCAGCCTGTAATTTCACAAAGCTTCGATAAAGTAGATATCAAGCAGGGATGCCAAGTAGGCAGGTGTTTGAAGATCCTTCAAAGTGAGGGAAGCCAGGCAGAAACCATGAAAGGCAAAGCTAACAGCCCAACCAGCATGCAGAAATGCAGTGGGAAGCACAGACGACTTTAAACCCAGCTTGCGGATCTTCTGCTTTGCAAAATCTCACCACTGGGGCTGGGTGCGAAAATCTCTGCAAAGGATTGTGAGCTTTCCAAAATTTCTCGTCTGTATTGGGATAAAAAGTCAACAGCACAAAATGATGGAGACAGTAGCGAGCTTCACCATGCAGGTGTCAAAGCACAAAATTAAGCAAAATTGAGAAATTTACCTGAGAAAATGGGAAATGTTTCCATTTAGAAGCTTTCAAAGATGATTATATACTACCTATAACTGATATCATTCTTGACAAAGTTCTGGTTTTTGGCTCTACCCCAGGCCTTCAGCTTCACTGACGAATTCCCAGCCCTGGCTGCTGGCGGTGGTCTGTGCCAGCAGCCAGGGCTGCCCAGCGCACGGGCTCGTTCAAGGCTCGTTTGACCTGGCCATGCCCTCCCTGCGTGTGCCAGCTGGCTGCTCTTTGTGCCAGTACTATTTTTGGTAGCCACTACTGCCAAGGCAGCATGAAAAGGCCTTTGTGAGGAGAGAGAAATGGGCTGTGCCTAATTCTTCACTACCCAATACCTGTACAGACTTTTGCACTATAAAATATGGGCATAAAACAACCCATTCTCATGACCACAATTTGTATCTAGCCATTTAAGACAAATGGCAGCAAAGCCAGTATCTCCATTTGCTTTTCTTTGAGTATTATGGAGGTAAAGCTCCATCATTTCTACTGTTTTATTCCTGATTGTGCCATTGGTATCTATTCAAAAGAAGTGGGCATTTTTCATTTGCATCACAGTAGTGTTTTTCTCTTCTCTTTCCTGACTTTTGAGTGGCTTTACAAGGTGCACAATGGAGAATCAAACCCTGTGTGTTCACACCATCTGTTGGATTCTCCTTGTCTTTCTGTCCATCAGTGAAGGTGCATCAAAGCCGGCACAGGCCGCCTGCGTAAGTGATACTCAATCCCACAGCCCGGCCATGTACAAATAACCCATTTGCTTTGCTCCTGGGGGGTTTTTAAGGCCCTGCTCATGAGGATTGCTCTCCGGGTCCTGAAAAGAAGAAAGGAAACCTAATGAGCTGGGAAAGTGTGAGGGAAGGAGGTCCCTGTGGGGCCAGGTGGCTGCTGCCAAGCCCTCAAGGATGTGGAGAAATTTGTCAGAGGCAATTTGCCTTTCTAAATCCTGCCAAGGACAATGTCCTTCTGAGCAGAATGCTCTTTCTGCCAGAATTTTGCTGCCACAAGGTTTCACTTTACTAGATCTTTTTTCACTATTTTAAAACTGCAACACTGGGCTTGTTCTTTTCTTCTGGTACTCTGTGTCCGGAACAGAGAAAGAATTAATGGGACAGGGCAACGGGGCAGCCGTAACAGAGGGACTCAGCTCAGGTTGCCCGGCGGTGCTTGGGGTAGGTCCTGAGCTGCTGCTGCTGCCCGGGGGCTGGCGACCCTCGTGGCAGCGCTCTGCCTTCCCCCGCGGGGCAGCCCGGACACGCAGCGACAGGGGAGCTGCCTCCCCTCACGCCAGTCTGTGTTTTGTGGAGAGCAAATGGCAACAGCACCAACGCAGACCGGTAGTCACGGAAGTCAGGGGTACAGGGGGGTAACAGCAGGATCATCATTTCAGCTGCATCCATCAGGTCCTACAGACACTCACAGGAGCCCGCAGATAAAAAATGTCCTTTGCTTGTCATATGCACCAAGGCAGATTGGGAAGGATGTTCCCCTTCTTGTGTTAGCCTCCAAAAACTGTTCCCATATCTCCCTTCAGTCTCTTCTCCAGGCTAAATGTCAGTGTGTTCAGTCTTACGTAGTCCAAATTTTCACAAAATGACATATTTCTGAATTCTTTTTTTTCCCCCGCTTCTCTTTTTTTCCTTTTCCAACTTATTTCTACCTAGAATATTTATCTGTAAGGGAACCTTTACCACAATCTGATTATATCCTTAAAACCTTTCTTCTCTATCAAATTTCACAGCTTTGTAACAGGGCTTGTTCTGGAGTTGGGGTTTCTCCTTATTCTGTTTTGCTTTCCTGCTTTTGCAAAAGATGATCTTAAAATACTGAAATATTTTCTGTCTTCCTGGTTAGAGGACTGAGCACAACTTTGCAAGTCAGGAGCTCCTGAGTCCTAGCTCTGCCTTGGCAGCAATTTGTTTTCAGTGCTGCCTCAGGCAAGACAGCTGACCTTGAGCTCTCCATGAGCTTTTGGAGAAGGGCATGTAGATACAGAATAAAGAGTTCAGATTAGTATAAAAACATTAGCTTTACCTTCGTAACTTGTAGAGCTGTCTCTGGACAATCTAACACAAAAAGTCAGAAGATGTTGTATGTGTCCAGGATCAGTTAATAAACCCTGGAGCTGTTTTTGATATGAAGACCTTGGCAATCTGACAAAAACAAACACCTTGTGATGGTCCTCAGTTAAGAAAGGCCTCTTCAGTCGTAAGCCCGACAACGGTGGTTTGTGGATGGGAGACACATAACACCTAATGTTTTTCATCTTCATATTCTTCAGCTTTATGGCAGTCCTGAAGCCTCTGAGCAATAATTATTCTTAAGATTTTTATCTCTGGGCAACAGAGTTGCATAGTTGTTCTTTAAAGTGATGATAAAGAGTGCTTGTCACCAAAGAATGTGCACTGCTTAGAAAACCTTGAGATTAATCCAAGATTAGCTCAAATTTCCAAGCAACCGTTARGACTTTTTCTTTTTCAATAAACTACCATGCTTTAAAATATCAGGAATTCTTCCCAAAATTTCCTTTTGTTCATTAAAAATACTGTGTAAGAAATCTCTGGAATTTCTGGGTATTCTGTTCAGTGCAAAGCACAGATCATTGGCATCCCTGGGTCATTTGCTGTCTGGCAAGCTAGTGCTTCTTATCAAGTGCTCTGATGTTCAAGGGCCTGAGGGCTTGTTCACACGGGAAAACTCAGTGGCATTAATCATATCTCTTCATTGCAGAATGAAACATCCACATGGGAATGAAACATAATTATATTTCTGTAGAAAAATCCTGAGTACCTTCATACAATCTCTCCGGAAAGTTTGTTATGGCACAAGTAATGCAATATAGCAGAGACTGCATCTGGGGACAGCAGAAACAGAATTTCTCACAAAAGCAGTTCTTCACTCTTGTGGCAATAGAGTTCCTTTTTCGAGGCAGTCATTTGATACAGAGCACTCGGTCCGTACTTGTAAAACCCTTATTCTACTGTGCAGTAAAAAGAGACACCACTCACATACCTACCCCCACATTATTKTAATTATTGATGGCAGTTTTGCTGYGCTTACACGTTTCATCTTCAAAGCGCCGTCCCTGTGTAAGTGGATGATGTCTCTGAGCGGCGCGCGCGGGCACACGCGGCCTGAGCAGCGCGTGCGGCTCCCGGGCACGCCGGTGCCGGGCTGAATGCTGATGGGGAGAGCACCACAAGCAGCACTGGAGTCCAGGTGACATAAAGCAATTTCACGCTCYGAAGGCCACTGGCAGGACACGCTGCACCTGCAGCCACGCACTTCATCTGCATAGCAGGGAAGCAGGTGACGCGCTGCGAGTGTAGCACAACGGCCGAGGAGGAGGAGGGGAAAGAAAACAAGGCTGCCTCYCACGGCGCATCCCTTGCCGTGGCGGTGCCACGGCCTTGCTGTTCTGCCCTCCGCAGCTACCGCGGCCCTTGCAGTTGGCGCTGGCTGACGCGGAGCAGCCGGTACAACTCGGGCAGCGAGGCCGGGGCTCCGTGGGGCGCCGCGGCGGCCTCGGCCGGCTCCGCGCACTCCCGCACCGCCCGCTGCAGCTGCAGCTGCAGGGGGAAGGGCAGCGCCGGCCCCCTGAGGTTTGGAGAGAACCAGCGGCGGAATATTTTGTCACAGATGACCTGAGGAAAGGGAAAAGAGCAGGTTGTTGTCTGTTAGGAACAGGAAGCAATGCCCTGCTGCTCCTCTGGGGCTGTAGCAAGATATCCTGCATCAGCAGAATCCAAAGTGCCTCCAGGCATCCTAAGAGCCCGATAYAGAAAAGGAACTTGCACCACAGCTGCTCTCCAGCTCAGCACCCCCCCCAAAACACTTGTTTTGTTCTGCAAAACACATGGTGTGTGTGAGGGAATGGCAGAACCGGGCAAAAGGCAGCTGAGCTGAGCCCCCCCAGCCTTGCTGCATGTCTTCAGCACTACTGAGGTGGGTTACATCCCACCTCCTGCCAGCCCAAATACCCCATAGACTCCTCTCGCCACCACATCGGTGTGCAACTTAGGCAGAGTGGAGGAGAACCCCCCCAGTTTGCAGGTAGACAGCCCTGACTTTGCCATGAGCGGTGACAGGAATGGTAACTACCCCCCTGCTTCTGTTTCTTCCACCCTCATTTCTGTGCCACTGCAAAGGCATGGAAATAAGACAAATAAATGCTAGAGAATGTCAAGATCTGGCTGCATGCCCCCAGATGGCATATCTCAACAAGAATGGCCATTATGTGGCCACATTTGGAAAGGTGTCTATCTTCCATTGGTGCTTTCATTCATAACACAACGTTTGTTGTCAATGTGATTTTAAAAGAAATTGAGGCATAAAGCAGCCGTGTCTACTCACTTGCAAGTTGTTATTGGCTCTCTGTGCTCCGCATTTTCTGATTTTCAGATCACATTTTGAAAAGCAATCAAAAAAATTGCAATCTTCATCTGCTGTACAGTTCTGTTCAAGGATGTCCTTCATTTTGGGTTCAAAAAAGGCCATATCCACATCAATGGCCACAACCTGTGGAGCAAAACAACTTATCAAGCCTGGCACAGCACATACTCTGGGATAGCAAGCATTCCTTCGCTGTTTTCTCTTGGAAATGCTGTGCTGAGAGCATCTGCCAATACAGAACTGGGATCACAGTGCAAGGGCTTTCTTGTGCGTAACTGAGCAGCAGCAGTCTTATGAATAGCACTTTTTAAGCAATAACAAACAATGCTTAAGAAACCAAGAAAGGCAAAATTATCTGTACACAATCCCTGAAGTCAGTTGGACTGATTCCCCTTAAACCAGGACTAAAAAGTTTGAGGACCTGCTCTATTTTATGCAGATGGCAACCCAGCCTTTCCAGGGCCAGAATCATTTCACAATCTTCCTCTCAGCTAGAGTGTTGGTCACCCTGACTTCAATGCTCTGGCGAGGAGCAGTGCGACGTKCACAGCTTTCTGCCCCTGGCACAGGCTCCCCTGATCCTGTCCTTCCATTCAGTGGATCTGCATCTGCCCAGCTGCAGAAATCACTCCCTGAGGTTGTTTAAAGTTGGGACTGGCTTCATCCACTCCTGTTGGCTACAGTTTCCTTCGTTGAGCATGCATGGTTCTTACTCTGCTGGCCCAGAAATATGCTCCCTAGCAGGGTTCAGTCAGCAATTGGTCCCAGCAGATGAGTGAGGACTGAAGAGACAAATCATGTTTCTTGTCCTGGTATAAGCTCACAAAATACTGAACAAGCAGCACTGCGGAGCTGTGCTGAATTCGAAACTGTTCTGTGAGCAAAGAGCTGTAGTCTCAGTTTCTGTCGATGTCACTCCACCCATGGATACTCAAAGAAATTATAGAAATAAACAAAGAAAAGAAGAGAGTGATAGGCTGGCAGTTGCTTGATATGAGAAAAACTGAGGCTGAACAAAATGWAAACCTCCTTTCAGCCCTATGAATGCAGCAATCTATGCATGGTGCCTGGCATTTAGCAATCCAAACCTTGACTCTGAGACTGTCTTGCCGCAGCTGAGGTAAATTTGCATGGATGCAAATTTGCAAATGTTTGCAAATGTTTGGGACCTGAGCAAAGCAGATTTACTTCAGCTGAAATGATATTCTCATTTTTAACATTGAGCCTCACAATAACTTGGGAAGCTGAACTGTGTGGCTGGAGCAGCAACTGGATGAACCCCAGGAACTAAAGATGTCTGGCCTGGTAGAGGGCCAAGCAAGCCTTCCTCAGGCAAAGGAGAAAACAAGGTCTAATCTTTATTTTGTTTTACTCCCCCATGCTCTCCCTCACCCAGGGAAAATCCTGAAGTGATGAAGCATAGCTTAAAAACTCAAGTATTTTTAAGCTGCTTGGAGAGAATGATCATGATGTAGCCTGGGGAATTTTACACATTTGGACAAGCAATTTTTTTTCTTTCTTCCCTTCCTTAAGATTTCTGCAGTTTTGCTGAAAAATTCTTTGGAGACCCTTGTGTCTGCCCTGCTGTAGTGAGGGTCGGGGGTAGCCCCCTCAGTCAGAGAGGTGCATGGCAGGGGGACAAGGGAGGCTGCCCTCGACCAGTCCCTGATCAGGAACTGACTGGTAAAGCAGCCTAGAGCTCTTACCTCCTGTTCTCTGTCCATTTTCACTCACCAGAAGCAATATTTATTTCCCTYTTCCTCCTTCTGACTGTGTAGCTCCTGTCTGTGCACCCCACGTGGGGACAGCAGGAGACACATCRCCTCATGTCTGCAAGGTACAACCACAACACCCAGAAGGGAGGCAGGCAGCATCTCACATTTTTCTGTCACTAATTCTCCTAGAAAATGCTGAAGTAAAATGTTTTCCTGGGCCACGGAGTGGCGGCTGTCCCTGCAGACCTAGACATCATGGGAGGATCCTGGAGAACTGCTCCTCACTGGAAGGATTTGTGGTGGAAGCTGCACCCARCTCTCTCTCTTCTTCTAAATGCCGTTTCCTCTCCTCTGAGCAGGTAGCAGAACAGATGTTCTAAGGTGTGCTCAGCCATGTCCAGTAATACCCTGTGTAACCAAAGTAAGCAAAGCCTGACCTGAAGAACCTCTGTCATATCTTGCTCCCTACAACTACCTGAAAGGARGGTGTAGTGAGGYGGGCACTGATCCCTTATCCACAATAACTATGGACAGGGCAAGAGGAAATGACGCCAAGTTGTGCCAGGGAAGGTTCAAGTTGGACATAGGAAGAGTTTCTACACAGAAAGAGTAGTGAAGCATTGGAACAGGCTGCCCAGGGAAGTGCTGGAGTCATCATCCCTGGCACTGTTCAAGGAACGTGTAGATGAGGCGCTTAGGGACATGGCTGAGCAGGCAGGGTGCTGAGGGGCTGATGGYTGGACTCAATTTCGAAGGGCTTTTCCAGCCCTGGTGATTCTGTGCTTCTGCAGTCTCACGCTGCCTGAACACTGCTGTGCCTTTCCTGCTTTCTTGCTGCGGTTCCCCACCCMTTCCCTGCTCTCCTGCTGCACCTGAATAAACAATGTGAAGTGAGTGGATGGGTGAAGGGGAAGCACACTAATTGCTCTTAATGACTACGTGTTTAGGTGGTGTTTGTCCAGAACTCTAAAGGTACAAATACTGTATTAACACTCAGTGAGTAGCARTTATTATTCAAGTTCCTGGAGATATTTTATGTTCACTCACAGTGCAGAAACTCCACTGATGTCATTGTAAATTGTGAGTCTGGTTCAAATGCTTATTGCACAGTGGCTCCAGTCCATGCACTTAATTCCCACTGAAATCAGTGGAATTTCTCTCTGCAGAGTGAATGTGGGATATATTCAGAAATACAGTGGCGGGCCATATTACTGTTTAAAAATATTAGTTTTAGGGAGACAGCTGTACAATGAAAAGTCAAACGGTACCAGTACCAGCAAGGTTTATGTTTTTGCCCTTTAATGATTTCCAGACCAAATTTGCTTGGCACTAAAGCAGAAAGATGTGTGTGTTCTCTGGGTGTGTGAGTCTCCTCGTGTCGAAACAGAGAATTCAGCTTTAGCTTCACAATTCAAAGTTTTCCCTTTCAGCCTCCCTACTGGAAAGAATCGCCGTGGCTCATGGACAGCTTCCGAGGTCTCCTTGCCTTCGGAGCCACTCTTTGCCGGACCCAATGGACCCTGTGGGTCTCAGTGCATTTGAGCAGGGAAACAATTCAGAAGGGAWTAAAGAGCTCCTCTCAACACAAGCAGCAGGACCCAGCACTCTGAACTGTGGCTGCAGATACTACAAAGGGGAAAAGCAGCAAAGCTCCCATGCTACTTTTAAGAGAGTTGATTTTGCAAGAACTTGGACAAGATCTCTGCGAGGAAGGAAGAATGATTTTTACACAGCCACTTTTYAGACTAGAATTTGACCTCGGATTTCTGCAACACACCCAACTTACCGTGAGATCCTGCCTGATAGCAAAATTTTCTGGCTTGATGTCACACAAGTGAAGTCGGTGAGAGAAATCGTGATCAAAATGGTGCACCATATCCAGAAAGCTGAGTGCAATGTCAATGATGGCTCTCACCCTGCTTTGGCTTCCAGCAAGGGAGGGACCAACCACATTTTCCAAGGGAAAAAGAGTTTTGTGCCAGGCATGTCCAGCTGTGAGATACTCCACAGCATAGAAATGTCCACAGGAGCCAATAATGCGTAGCACGTGTTTGCTGAAGTCCTGCAGTACACTGAAGTAGATGTATTCTTCCTGCTGGAGCAGGGACCACATGCTGGCCACCTGTGCTTTCCAGTGTGGCCCCTTCCTCCTCGTCCACAGGGGCCCCACGGTGTTGTTAGATAGCTCTAGCCCCAGGACATTTTTGACTTCCAGGGCTACCATCAGCAGAAGCTCTGTTTCAGGAATATCCTGTGTATCCATCTCCTCTAGCATACTGAGATGCTGGTAGCTGGAGAAGATTTCCTTTTTGGATTTCAGGATGATGGGCTGGCCTCTCCAGTCAGCCTGGATGACCTTCTTACCTCTGTCATAGTACAGGCAGTGTTTGTACACCAGCTTCTGTGCCACGCACAAGTCTTCACAGAGGTCACCGGTCAGGGCTCCRCTGCTGTAGTCCAGGCACTAGAGCRAAGAACAGAACATTCAGAGCAAGACCTCATGCCCCTGCACCACTTAGAAGAATGTCAGAGAAGCAGCAAGAGCTCTGAGCTCTGGGAGGTCGCGCTGCAGCTGTGGGACCACAAGCGCTCACCTTCCACCGCTGCCTCCGGACACAGTGCGGGTTTTGTTGTTGTTTGTTTTTAAGGAAGGTTCTAGAGATCTAGGGAGAGTCTCACTTCACAACATGGATTTTGGGGGATAGCACAAGGATCTTTTTTTTGCCTGGGCAAGGAACATGATTAGGTGACCTCTTATTAGTCTTAAGTTCTTCCCACCTGCCTTGATGCGACCCTGCGCCACATGCTCAAGGTGTCCCTGCTGCAACAGAGGAGTTGAACTAGATGTTCTCTGGAGGGCCATTCCAACCTCAACCATTCCATGATTCTTTGATATGAATTCAGTGGGTGAGGCTTTCCACACACCTAGCTGCACAGAGATGCTGGTGTGCCATGCTGTAGGGCACAGCAGATAATTTCCAATGTAACTCAGAACTTTCCTAGAAGGTTCAGAGCAGGGTAACTTACACATYCCCACTTAAACTAGAGGAATTCAAGGATAGCTGGATTGCTGAGACCCTCAGCAATCTCTGTATTTCCACCTTACAGTGAGCGTGCCCTGAATGAAGCAGGAAGAACCTCCTTCTCCACTAGTAGCAAACAAAGTGGTTGCACTCAATGCCCTKTCAGCCAAGAACTTTCAGAATCTTTAAATACCTAAATTCTGTAGCACAACATGACATTTCTAGATAATATGTATATACTCACCAGAAGTCCCTGTGACATTTTAATGTCAAGAGCATAAAGAGTTAATCTTTTAATTTTATTTGAAAAAAAAAAAGTCCATGGAAACATGGGAACTGATGCTTCATAGTTAAGTGGTCACTGTAAATTCATAAAAGAATTGCAAAGATTCCCCACCAATCCTTCCCACCCATAATTATTTCCATACCATCTCTTCCAAACTGTAGTCGGTTGATATATTCCTGTGGGCATTGAGAAGTGCAGCTGCAGGGAGTGCTCTGGGCGAATCAGTAAGGAGGATGATCAGAGGTCTCGGGTGGATGGGGAATAGACCGTGGTGGAGTAGAAAGCCAAACACCTGGGAGGCAGCTTGACAGCCTCACCCTGCTTCTCAGTTGCTTTCTGGYACTTGGATATTTATTTAAATAAGTTGGCAGCTCCCTCTGTTTGTGGGATACTTACAGCAGCTGCCTGGCCCCACCTCCTTTGTAACTTGCTGCTACAGGCACCGCGAGCACAAGCWGAGATTCAAGGGATGTATTTTGTTAAAATAGCCTCTGAGGTGTGCAACAAGGAGAGGCTTTCCGATGCCAGGCTCAACCTTAAAACTCAGAGTTCAGTCTTAAAAAWCCCTTTGGGGATGGGTGCAAGATGCAAACTAAAATATGGGAATGGTGCAGGAAATGGTGATAAATTGGCTAAAATACTTCACAGAGAGCGGTGCAGGGAAGCAAAATATGATCTCCTGAGGCAAAATCAAAGATCTCGTAGCCCAAAAGAGAAAGTTCAGTGCCAGCATGGGGCTCAGGGCTGGCCAATGCTGACATGGAAACCCTGACTTGGAGCCCAGGGTCACGCACACATCCGCATCCACAGGCACATCAGGAGGGTCCAGCAAGTTCCCTGGGCTGGCCAGACTTCAGAAAGAAACATTATGTTCGGACTGGAAGTAGTTCTTCCTACCTAGTGCTCTATTTTTCAACTATTTTAGAAAGAAGATACTGAATAGAAGAAATTTGGGGGGAGATTGTTTCAGGGCTTAAGTACAATCACTTTTAAATTCATTGCTTTCTGACTGTGACTGTGGTCTGCTACATTAAGATCTCAGGACTTCTTAGTCCTGTAATTGGATTCACAAAGGTGAATTTTTGCCCCTGTGGATAACTCCACTGTGGTCCATTACGGACCATGTTCTCTCACCGAGAGCCTCTTCCACCTAGAAGAACACATGTCCAGAAAACATGCAATGCAGCATGAGAACATGAAACCTTCTTTCTTGTGTTGCAATCGTGCTGTTCTCAATGGTCTTAGTGACAAAAAGTAGCTGCAGAAAAAAAAAAGTCATCTCAATTTTGTTTCCCWAAGGAGCTGAGTCAATATTGAACCTGCTAAAGAATATATTTAGAGCTGCCTGCTGTTCCATTTGAACCAGAAAATCTTTGTTTATTAACTTAATATCTAGCAAACACAGAGTCTCCAGATCTGATTCTTCTTTACTGAAATTGCACCATGTTTTGGAAACTGTGATCTGTGAAATGGAAATCAACCGAGGAGATCTTAGTATCACAATGATGAAAGGCAAATGAAACTTCAAGAAGCGACATTTCCTACTGGCCACAGATGCAAGTAAAAATTTCAAAATGCTTCATTAAATAATAATAATAATAATTTTCAATCAATCAAACTATTATTTTTATTATTACTCAAAATATTATTTTTATTATTTCAAAAGTKATTATTAATTCAAGAGTTCCTCTGCTCACAGAAGTTTAACTGGCTTTAAAAAACTTGTTGTTTTGCTTATTAAAACCTACAAGTTGAGCAAAGCCTAACTTCAACTTTCCTTCCTAAACAGATCAGCCCACAGTGTCCCAATTTTTACTGTTTTATGCTTTACTGTAAGCCTAATACACTGAGCAAGCTTAGCTTGTGAACCGTCTCTCTCTAACCCCTATATTCCAGCTCCCAGCTCATCTGTGTTTTTGTTCCTTCCCCTCTCCTCTTCCTTTCCCCCCAGACCATCTCAGAAGCACAGACATCAGAGACATCAGAGGCGGCTGCTCGTTCCAGTGCTGCCAGACCAGGCAGCCTCTCTGCCCTGGCCCTTCTTCCTGAATTCATCACAGGTTGCATTAGCCTTTGAGGCACAGCCTGCCCTGGTAGTTCGTGGTGAAGCAATTATTTGGCCCCTTTGTCCTTCCCAAAATCACACCATTTTTCAAGACASTTTTCCATCTATTGGGCATAGCTTGTAGTCTTTGTTCCCCAACATACCGGCTTGCATGTGATTGTATTAACTTCCATTTTTGTGGACTGAAACCATCTAACTAGGTGATTGAGATTATTCTGCAATGAAAAGATGTTCTCTTTGTTATTTTCTAACCTAGAAACCTTTGCACTAACTGCACATTCTACCACGTACGATTTTGCACCATCAGGGCTGCTGATAAAATGAAGAATGAGTTCTCCAAAGAAATCTTACAGAAATGGCCCTTAACACCAAAATCTCTACATTATGGAGGTCAGACAATGAAAGACTTTTATATCTGCATAATGTGTGTGCCCTTCTAATGCCACTAAATACCAGATCTTTTAAACAAAAATATGAATTTGATCCGAAGCTAAATGTCTTATGGAAAAGCAGCTACACTACAGTAAAAAAGCAAACAGAAGAATGATTTGGATTCAGTCATCTGTTTCTGTTTAATATTCAATACATCATTTTAAAAATCCTTAGTATGCTTACCAAGACAAGTTTGAAAGGCTGACTATGTTTAAATTCATATAAAAGTGCCTAGTTAAGGTTTACCCCAGTTTAATTTCTTCACCGAAGCACTTTGTGATAGGATCAGGCCAGAGACTGAGTCCTGCCTTATTATGAAGTGTTTCTCCAATGTAAATGCAACACTGATCAAGGTTTGGGAAGGCRTCAAAATGAAGGATTTACTCTGGAGAATACAGAAAGTGATCACAATGTGATTTAATGTGGTTAAAAAATTAAGATAAGACTGGTATTAGGAAACACTAGGGTCTTCTGGAGAGCTGAAGTTCATCTCTGCAAAATGCCCAGTGGTACTTGTCCCTCCTTGTGCAGATATATCTTCTGCACAGATGTACATGCTCAAGGAGGAAGGAAATACCTGTTATAGATGCCATAGGGAAGAATATATAGCCATGCAATTTTCACTCACTTGCCTAAAAACGTTTATCTTCATCTTCTGCTGGAAATACTATAGGTGGCTAGGGAAAGCTTTTCTTGGAATTCAGGTTTTGCCTTATAAAACATTTCAGACTCAAGCTATCTGATTATTCTGTAGATGGGCTGTACTTGCTATCGCTGTGAAACCCATGCAGTGCTCAGAAGATGCACAAAGAGCTCTTTCCAGGGTGATGAAGAAAATCTCCTTAATACTTCCACGGGAACAACAATCCTGGTATGTGTCACTGGGGAAAGCTGTTGCTTGCAAACTTTACTGATGGGATTGCGGAGTCACCCTTGGGATGAAAGATCCACAGCATTTTCAGCTGATCTATCTTGGAGGAGGGCTGTGAACTGAACCTTCAGACCCCGCTACAGTCCTGTCACACGGACAGGGACACGTGTCCACTCTCATGCCTGACAACCCATCCCCGCTTGGGCTTCCGAAGTCGTCGAATACTTTCTAAAGCGGAGGGCAGCCACGCGTCTCTGCCCATCGCTTCAGCGTGGTCGCCGTGATGGCAGAGGGCTCCTTGCTCTCCATGGCGGCTCCACGTTTTTGTGCTCTTCCTAGCAACGTGCGGCTCGCTCTTCCCGCAGCGGCCCCGGGAAGCTCGTGGTGCTCGYCTTTGGAGCCAAGCGTCGGGGATAGTGAAGGGAGCCTGGCCGCCGTTTGGAGTGCGCGGCCACGGCTGCCGACTATAATTAATCTGCCTTTATTACGCAGGATTTAGGAAAATTTATGGCCAGCACTGGCTTGCTGTTGTAAGAGATTGTCAGAATCGTTCCCTGGGCTTTCTGCTTAAAATATCTTAATCAAACAACAAAAAGTGCTCGCCCACATTGYTCCTCTTGTCAAAGTACTGAAACTGCCCTTTTCTACATCATTCTAAACCTCTTTGTATTTTTTCTCCCTTGCTTTTGGAGGCGTTTTAATGATCATTCCCCAACCCTTCCCTGGACTTTGAATAACCGCACTTTAAGCGCCAGCCGCCCAACTCTTAGCAGACGTGAAGGACACGCTCTGAGCGGCGCAGCCTTTCCTAGGGATTTTATTATTGTTTTCACACACAAAACCCGGGATCCTTGAGGGGCAGCGCGGGGCGCGGGCTCGGAGGTCTCCCGCGCGCGGCGCAGCCGTTAATAAAGCCGCGAGGCGGGCGGCGCGCGGCGCTAACGGCCGTAACGGCCGC